AGAATGGTGGAATTCGATCGAAACAATTGAAAATGGTGAAGGATCGATATGCGACATATTCTAATGATCTTACGTTTCACTATCGCAAGGTGTTGAGGGAGGGTAAGATTGATGTGACACGGTGGCATATAATTCAATCGAGTGAATTGATGTATGGGAATAATCAATATCAGAAGGTGTTAAAGGTTCATCGTGATCATATAATCAATGGTCAGAATCCCCCAAAAAGGGATCGAATTATGATTCTCTGTTGGGATATCGAAACTTATAGTTCACGTGAAGGTGGCAAGGTTCCAAAACCGGAGTATGATGAAGATGAGATATTCATAATATACATGACAGTGCATTGGTATGATGAGAATGAACCGATATGAAAGATTTGCTTGTGCATTCAGAATTTGAATGAATGTGAGGATTGGGTATTTAGGAGGTTGTATTCTCAAGAACAGATGATAATGGATTTTGCATATTGTGTAAAGTTAATTAATCCAGATGTGATGATGGGATTTAATGATGGTGGATATGATTGGCCATTTGTACTCAAGAAAGCTGAACGATTAAATTTATTGAGAGATTTTGTGAGTGTGATGGGTGGAACGAAATTTAAAGGAAGTTCGATCAGCGATGCGGGTTATGATATCCATGAGAATAATATTAATATTACAGCTCAAGATAATGTCAGAGTGATGTATTTTCGTAGATTAGGGACATTGATGATAGATGTGATGGTATCATTTCGAAAGATGTATCCAAACTCAGAGAGAAATTCACTCTTCCATTTTTTGAAGATGACAAATCTTGAAGGAAAGGTAGATCTATCCCATTTAGTTCTGAGGAGATATTATAGAGATTGTAAGAAGGGAAATGTGTCAACTGAAGAATCAAGAGAAAATATGAGTGAAATTGCACGGTATTGTATGGTGGATGCAAGGCGTTGTCAGGAATTGATGTTGAAGATGAATGTTATTGATTCATATCGGAAGATGTCAGGTATATCTTATGTATCAATTTTCGATTCGTATTGTTATGCGGGAGGGATCAAGGTGTTTAATTTGCTTGGTACAATGGCCTGTGATATGAATATCTTGATCAATATGATTCGAGATGATAATGTGAAGGATGGAAAATACCCCGGAGCATATGTGTATGAACCGATAAAAGGTTTGAATAATAGACGACCAGTTACTGGATTGAATTTTGCGTCATTATATCCAAGTCTCATGATGACATATAATTTATCCCCCGAGATGATAGTCGTGAATCAATTAGAATGTGATCGGTATTATGGGATGGGTTATCGATTTCATGAAATTGAATTTATGTTCAACGAAAGGAAGATCAAAGCGTGGTCAATAAAACATGAGAATGTAAGTGATAATATGGGACTTTATGTGATTGTTCAAGGATACCTAAAGGATAAGCGTAATGAGATGAAATCAAAGATAAAACGATTAGGTGAAATTTTGGAGAAAAAGAGATCGAGAGATGAATACGATTATGAGTATGTAAATCTCGAGTTTCAATATAACCAAGTGAATCTTGAACAATTAGCATTCAAGATTTATATGAATAGTTTTTACGGAGAAGCCGGTAACCTATTGTCACCATTCTTCATGCGTGAATTAGCTGGAGCAGTTACATCATTTGGTCAATATAACATAAAGATGATTGCGAATTATGTACAGGAATTAGAATTCAAGGTTCAATATGGAGATACTGATTCATTATATTTTACATGCCCAGAGATGCACTATGAAGAACAGGATCGAAGGTATCAATCGAATGAATGTGATAAAAATGAATATTGGACAGAGATGGTAAAAATTACGATGATGGTAATGAGTGAGTTACGTAAAAGGATGAATGAATATTTGTATCAAGATAATGGTACACGATTCCTAAGTATGGCATATGAGGAGGTCCTCTTTCCAGTGATGTTTACTGGTAAAAAGAAATATTTTGGTATTTAACATATTAATATGATCAATTTTTGACCTCATAAATTATTTATTCGAGGAATTGATATTGTGAAGAAAGGGAAATCAGAGTATTTCAAGAAGATGTGTGAGGATGTAATGAAAAGAATTGTGGATATGGATAATGATATGGATGCACTTGATACTGTCTTATCGACGATTGAATCTTATATGAAGAATGAATATAATGATATAAGTGTATTTACATTATCTGCCACATATCGGCCTCTAAATAAGAATATATCAGTGAATGAATTTGTAAATCATATGCGAAAGAGGGATATTGGAATTGAGGCGGGTGAACGATTTAATTATTATATTATTCGACATCCTGATAAGAATGCAAAGATTCATCAGAAGATGGTTCTTGTGAAATATTTTGATGATAAGAAGATGAAGATTGATATGAAATATTATATCAATACCCTTATTGGAACATTAGCACGTTTTATTAATCACTATGCTCAATTTCAAACGAATGATGTTGATTATAAGAAGAGAGATGAGATTAGTCAAAAGAATGCCGAAAATTTTTTGAGAGGTCATGTTGCGATGATTGATGATAAGATGACAATTCATGATATTCGTAATTTTTTTATTCCAGCACCAACTAAGAGGATGATTTTGGAGCAAGATGGTAGAGATCAAGAGAAACGTGTAAGATTTGAATGATCTTTATTGAATGTGTAATAAATTTGAGTGACTTTTATTAAATAAATTATATTTATACAAAGAAAGAATTAATAGTAATATTAATAAATTTACTCTTGGGTATATGGTTAAAACAAGGTTCACAGAGAATGTGACTGTGAACGTGATCATATCCTCGAAGTGTGAATACGTTATGATCGCTAATGATACCCATTTGACATGTTAGTATTCCGCAGCAGTTATTTAAGACACAACATGGTTTACATAATTGCAATTTTCCACATTTCACACAAGTAGATTTGAACATCTGATCAAATTGAGTTATGGTTTTCAAGTAGGTGCGACGTGAACTTGATGGGCTTCTACAATATGGATGACCTTTCTTGTTATATTTAATTGTTCTTTGTGCAGGTTTGTGATCTTTGCATTCATTCAATTTACACTTGAAACATCCATTTCGATTATGTTTTTGATGAAAAGTAACTCGATTGGTTTTTCGATTAGGTTTACCAGTCTTGCTATCATAATTGATGATTTCAAAAGTTTCTGTTGTATTTGTGATTGGATTGATCTCAAGAAATACGATCCCTGGTATTTTAATATGTTGTGTAAAGATATTAAGAAGATATTTATTTGTGAGAGCTAGATGTATCTCATCTTCGTACGAGTAACATGATTTGAAGGTGATAACAATTAATTCGGGTGGAAGTTTTGAGAGCATTTTTGAATAACGAGAATAGGATTCTGAGAGTTTAAATAGACTTTTATGTTTCACAGATTGATTGATCTAGAGAATATAACCTGCTATTCCATTCTTTCAAATGAGAGATAGGAGATTTTGAATCGCATGTGATAATAACTTGATATTTTATTAACGGAAAACTTGTGAAACAAGTTTTCACGACATCACGTCCCTATGCATGATTTTATTTAGAGTTAGGGTGGGCCAGGTGTGTGCGTGTGTGAAAAAGAACTTTATAAATTGCAGCTCAGCCCACATGCAGATCAATTCTGGGATATATTTACTCGTCGTTTTTTCAAAAAAAATTTTTTCTACCTCTCCCGAATATTTTTTTTTTCAAAAATGTGCATCTTCGCTTGCACAATTTGTTTGTTTGATTCGCTTGATCCTCTCGCAAATTTTTATTTCTTGCCAATCTTCTTTATGCGAGATCGATCTTTACTATTTTTTATATCAAATCAAGCAATCGAAGACAAAATTTGGTGAAGTATCAAAGTTTCGTTCCATCATTCTTGAATATGTGATCACACAAGATGTCAAGTGGCAGGCTTTACCTGATCTCTTTGTAAATCTCTTGATCCCTTCAACATGAGATGTTCGAAAGGAAAGAACCAGCTTCACTGGTCTTATGTGATCACATATTCAAGGATGATTCTCAATATTTTTCCTTTTTTTAAAAAATAGATATAACAATTTTCTCTTTTATCTCTTAGAGCCTCAAGATTCGAATGAAATGGTATATCGTTTTCCTTTCACGAAACACTAACATTACCTTGAAACAGCCTCATGGTGGTATGTGCGATGACCATTGAGGTCGCGGTTTACGCTATGCTCGCAAGAGAAAGTATCGCTGTCAGATTGGTACGAGTCCAGACGTCGCATCAAGGCATACATTAAATCCACCGATCGCATGCACGCTTACCTTCACACACTATCTGGCGTCTGCGGTCAAAGATGCATCTTTCTGGAGGTGAAAGGTGTGATTCGGAGTATACTGCCTTGTGAAATGGTTCACTTGTCGTTTGAGAGGCCATCCGAAAAGCACCCAGAGAACCTTCCACATCGTTTGAGAAAGTTGTTGAGACATAGGTTACGTACCGATACTGTGGTCACCCTTCAGGTTATAGGCTCACATGTTTGGATCCTCCGGAGTATTCAAATGTTACAATTTATATATACTCTTGCAATTGATGTCTAGACTCCTCGTTGAATCTGGTCATTGTAAGAGAAAATCCTCGTTAATTGTGCCATAAGCCTCGAGGTACTTCACAGATTCGTCTGTGTTGGCCCATACGGGAGTGAATACCTTCATTGGTGGTTAAAGTCTCACTACGCATCAAGAAACCGGTATATTGAAGTTCTACAATTTCGGTCGCAGATTTCATCATCATCATTTGAATTTCATCTATTGTCGTGAACTTCATCGATGTGATCTCTGATATTGAACATCAAAGACATAAACCCTCATTAAATATGCCAAGAGCATCGAGGTACTTCATAGATTTTATCTATGTTGGCCTATATGGAAGTGAATACCTTCATTGGTGGTTAAAGTCTCACTACGCATTAGGAGACTGGTATATTGAAGTTCTACAATTTTGGTTGCAGATTTCGTCATCATCAGTTGGACTTCATCTATTGTCGTGAACTCCATTGGTGCGATTTCTGATATTGAACATTAAGACAAAATCCTGCTCTGGTTTGAATTCTCGGAATATTTCTGAGAATATTTCTCGGGCAGTAAATATGATGAAAATGTTTTGTGGATGAACACAAAATCCTCTCGCATTTATCATTTTGCGATTTATAAAATGAACCTTCTCATGAGATTGGCAACCTCTGGGATGTATCTATTCACTTATTTCAAAATATTATTCATCAGATGAGAGGTCCGGGATTTTTACTCCCGTTTTTTTTTTACTTGAAAATTTTCATTTTATATTTCCATTTCTCTTTTCAATTATCAATCCTTTCATTATCCCTCTTTAAGGGTACCCGGTCATTAACCTCCACGTGGTGTACCTGGATAATCAACCAATGAATGACCATCCTTACTTCGTTCTTGGAATATTCAAAATAAATCAAATCAATCTCACATAAATTTTATAATAAATCAACATGTTTATTATTATATACAGTATCACATAAATTTAATAAATACTATCTATCATATCAATAAATGAATTAATTTAATGAATCATGTTTCAAGAATTACATCCCTGTCTTAATCTTTCACTTCGTCTTGGAGGTGGTCTCGGATTTCCTTGATTATCTCCATCCATTCTTCGTCTCTTGCCTACTACACTACGTGCTTGTGGTGGTAGTTGTCCTTGTGGTTGTATTTGTACTCTTTGTCTTCGTTGACCTCTTGGATTTTGTCCTTGAGGTACTTGAACTGCTCGACCTTGCTTATGAACTTGAATGTAATTATCATTATCATCACTCAGGAATATTCTATTGGGATATTTCCATTGAGTCGGATTTCCATCACGACCCACCAGAATATATTTATATCTATTACTCTTAGTTAAAGTCATCAAGCCAGGATATGGACCATTATAATCTGGTGGAGGTGGAATTATCCTATTTTGATTTCGCGTTACATGATTTGCTTGAAGAGCTTTGTGGACAGGTTGAATTCCATTAACTCCATTATTCTAATAAATTCCACCATTATATCTTCTCGTGAGCATACCATTCTTGTTTAAAATTGGTGTATATTGACCTCTCCTATTTATCGTATATAGTCTCGAAAGATCTTGTGCAATGATACGAAACACAAGCAGAAAAAATATCGCAAGTAATTTAATATTCATAATGTCACCTCAAACATCGATCACAATTTCTAGTTCTAATTTTCACTTGATATTTTTTAGATTCACCAAAAATTGAAAAAACAAACAATAAAAAAATAACAACAAAGAGGAATCTCATCTTGATTCTTAAAACATTATCCTTGCATCTATTTATAGATTTTATTCAAAATTTATTATTTTATTTGAGTTAATATATCTAATAATCAAAATTGAAATTGAAAAATTCACTCGAATCATTCTCATCTTCACCATTTATCAATATCCTTGTAACCTCATCCAGAAATTCAGACTTCTGGTCATCCGTCTCCATTTGTAACATTTGATCACCAATCATCTTCCTAATCTTTTCAATATTCTCATCCGATATTGAAGAGGGATCTGATAATGATTTTTTATACTCATCTATCATCAAATTTGTATTTCTAACAGAATCAAAGATTTCACCTGGGGGGATGATCGCATTGAATGGATTCCATACATCACTATCGCTTTTCTTTTCAATCACAAGTGGATGTTTCTTTAATTTTTTATAATTCGGATCCTTCGGCAAATGCATCATCTTGATCTTTTTTGAGATTACATCAGATTCATCCTCATCAAGAGGTCTTTTTTCAGAAATTAATCTCTCAAATTTACTTTCATCAAGAGATTTCTCTTCAGAAATTACATTATCTAATTCCAAATTATCTTTTTCAAGAGTTGGTTGTTTATCTAACTTCATAGTGTTAACCAATTCTCTCTCAGGAGTTGCTTGTTCATCTAATTTCATAGTGCTAACCAATTTCCTCTCAAAGGTTGAATTATTATCTAATCCTATTGATGCTTGTTTATCTAATTTTATAGTGCTTACCTCATCTAATTTCATAGTGCTAACCAATTCTCTCTCAGAGATTGATTTATCATCTAATCCTATTGTACTAACTGATGCTTTCTCCATATTAATTAATTCTTCTTTAGAAGTAGAATGGTTATCTAATTCACTAGTTTTCTGTAATCTCTCAGTTTTCGTAGGACTGAATGATCCTTTAGAAAAGATATATGTTGATTCTTTACTTATCTGTGATATCCCCAACAATGCACTTGTTATATCTCCATTGCGGGATTCCGACTCTAATATTTTTTCGACTGTCACATCTGTTTCATATGATCTCTCAGTTCTCGTAGAACTGGATGATTCTTCACTCATCTGTGATATCTCCAACAATGCACTTGTTACATCTCCATCGTGGGACCCCGTCAACTTTAATAACTCTTCAGTTGTCACATCTTTGTTCAACTCTCCAATGTTAACATCAATCAATGCACTCATTCGTTTTATTCTCAAATTATCAAGTTCTTTTTTATCAATGTCATTCAAAATATCAGATTCAATAATTCTCTTATGCCACATATTATTCTTCGATAAAAGACTCCATACATTCTCGTTAGCTATTCCATCTCGAATAGATTGTATCTCCTGTAAGATTTTTAATCTCTTCATTCTCATCTTATGTAATGATTCCACATCTCTTTTACCATAAAGTTGATCCCCATTAATTTTTGATATCTTCTTATCAAACAATCCTTCAGATACTAAATTTGAAATATCATTCTCTCTTGATATATCATGGATTATTCCATCGTAAATATCACTCATTATCTTCTTCCCTAACTCTTTTAATTTTAACTCACGCATTCCCATAAGTCGTAATTTTTTATCGTCACTCAAACTAGATTGCTTAATAGAAAGATTCCACATCTCACCAATATCAAGATTACCAATATTACTTTCACTCATCATGTCACTCTTAATCGTTTCAAATTCTTGATCAGCAATATTCTGTAAATATTGTAGTCTCTTCACTCTCTCATCTCGTAATAAATTCAAATTTCGGTTACCAGAAAGTAAATATTTGTTAATTTTTGGTATTTCTTTTGCAAAAAGTCCTCCGGGCATTAAATTATTAATATCTTTCTCTTCAGATATATCTCGAATAATACTATTATAGATATCATCCATCTCTTTACTACGTAATTCATTCAAGTTAGATTCACGTAATCTATCAAGTTGTTCCTTTTCATTATTATTCAAAATATTAGATCGATCAATCTCACGACCCTATCTTCCATATTTATCAAGATTTAAAATATCAACTTCATCTGTTATCTCCATCTTAATTCTATCATATTCTTGACCTCAATTCATATCATCAAAATTCATTAATTTATCCCATGCATCTTTATCATCTCGAGTCTCATATATGCTTTGATCAAAGTTACTATCTACTCAATTCGAATCAATTGTGTTTGAATCTCGATTAATCTCACCCATCCCGAAATCCATATTCATACTTTCATTCTCATTCACCTCATCTTCATTTTGATTTACCTTACCTATATCTAAATCCATATCAATCTCATTCTGGGATTGACTCTTTCGATTTCGTAATACATGATACATTAGCAATAAAATATCTTCATCGGGATCATCACCCTCTGATATCTTTTTTTTATTAGTTCTTTTAGATATACAATTCGATACTCGTGTGTTTTCAAAATATTGACAATTCATTTTTTATTGAATTTAAAAATAAACATGTGGTATTTATATATTACCGAAAATTATAGTTTTTCTATTAACCCTCTTAACACCATCTTTATCCTTATTCATCAATTTATCAAACATTTTTTTCAACTCAACCATATTATTTACACCACTTGATAACCGTTCCTTATACACATATTCAATCTTGAACTTATTCACAAAAACTGAAATACCAGTATCACTATTCATGATATTATATTCATTTCCAAAATCATATCTCCTTAAATCACTTTCCAAATATTTTTTCTTTCTAATCTCCAAAGCGGGTGACATATATGTCCGGTATACAACAAATGCAAATACACCTTGATCTAATACTATATTTTCATCAGGTTTAGATGTTAAAACACAAACACTATTTTCTTCAAATCTAATACACATTCTTAATGAATGGTCCTGGAATGTACATGAAGAACATGGAAATTTAAGTGTTTGAAGATTTTCACCCATAATTTGAATTCCTTCATGCACATCACCAGTAGGATCATTAACATTCTTAAATATTTCTTCTGGTGACAAATATCTTCTCCTTGCAAGATTTTCAGTAGTTATTTGAACAAACAGAATTCACTAATACATCTCTGACAACAGCGGTTCAAGAGAAATTTCAGATTCATCAGTATTTCTTATAGTATATCCAGAGTTTTCATGAAAAGAAGTCAATTGCCACTCAACCGTAGCATCGATCAATTTCTTACTTGATGCAATTCTGGTAAATTCATCATCTTGATATACTAGTATATACGCATATCTTCCTTTCAATAAACAAAAGCCAACTTCGGAAACACTTTGTTTCTCCTCGTAAATAGATGCACCAACTCCTCTATATTGTCCACAATCATTGTATATCTTTTTATCCGAACCACATGCTCCTAAATTACAACCACCAATGCGAGGACGTATTGGACCCATTAGAATATTGAAGTTGGAGTAAATGCACCAAATTCACCCAAGGTATCTTCCAATTCAATCTCTTTTACAGTTTTCTTTTTTGAGGTCTTTTTTTTCGAATCTTTCTTGGATTTTTTTTCTACACTCTTTTTTTTCGAATCCCTTAAATCTTTTTTGAATTTTTTTTCCACACGCCTCCTGGTATCTTTCTTAATATTGGCCAGTTTTGATTAAGCAAAAGAAATGTAATTTTTCAACTTTTCAAAGAAAAGAGATATTATTTCTCTAATAATAGGATGTAAACTATCCCTCACGAAATATTTGATCGGTGAGATATCAACCTTGAGTATGTATAACAAAACCAATGTAGCTATGATATTAATAATAAGAAAAAAATACAAAAGTGATAAATTAATCAACGTGTAAATTCGTTTAGATTCTATTACAACCTAAGACTGAATAACACCCCTATTTATATTTATTTTTAAAATCCCAGATTTTTACATTTAAATTTCACAATCATTTTTGGGATTCATCGAACTACTCTTCCACTCAATAGCAAGAAGTCTAAAGATGTCTTGATTGGTCAATTCAGGATTTAATTCCTTAACATCATTAAATCTCTCTTTTACAAAACTATTATAAGGTTTTCCTTCTTGTATCTTGATATTACCAGATTCATCATTCCCATCCAATTCATTTTTATCCAACTCACTATCAGAATTATTCTTCTTTAATTCATCTTTACTTGATTCATCTTCACTCAATTCATCACTCAATTCATCTTCACTTGATTCACCTTTACTCAATTCATCCTCATCTAATTCATTCTCACTCATAGATAACCCCTTTCCATTTATCATATCATTATATTCCTTTACTTGTTGCATAAATTTTACTCGTTTACTTGAACTAGGAATAACGCGCTCAATAGTATCAAAATCAATTTCTAGAGTTCTCTTCATTTTCTTGAATTAATCTATAATAAGCTCACCTATTTATATTTATTTTTTAACACATCACCCCCCTTAGAGTCCCCCTCAAGGGGGACATCTCGCATCGATGATACGAGAGTCGCTGCAATCTCTAAAGTTCTTTTCACACACGCACGCACCCCGGCCCACCCTAACTCTAAATAAAATCACGTCCCTGTGTGACGTGATGTCGTGAAAACTTGTTTCACAAGTTTTCCGTTAATAAATTATCAAGTTACCATCACTTACGACTCAGAATTCCATATCTCTTATTTGAAAGAAAAATATTATATTTCTTGATCAACCAATCTGTGAAACATAAAAACCTATATAAACTCTCAGAATCCTATTCTCGTTATTCAAAATGATACTCTCAAAACTTCCACTCGAATTAATTGTTATCACCTTCAAATCATGTTACTCGTATGAAGATGAGATACATCTAGCTCTCGCAAATAAATATCTCTTCAATATCTTTATGCAACATATTAAAATACTAGGCATCGTATTCCTCGAGATCAATCCAATCACAAATACAACAGAAATTTTTAAAATTATCAATTATGATAGCAAGACTGATAAACCCAATCGAAAAACTAATCGAGTTACCTTTTATCAAAACATAATCGAAATGGATGTTCCAAGTGTAAGTTAAATGAATGCAAAGAACACAAACCCGCACAAAGAACAATTAAATATAGCAAGAGAGATCATCCATATTGCAGAAGCCCATCAAGTTCACGTCGTACCTACTTGAAAACCATAACTCAATTCGATCAGATGTTCAAATCTACTTGCGCGAAATGTGGAAAATTGCAATTGTGTAAACCGTGTTGCGTCTTAAATAACTGTTGTGGAATATCAACATGTCAAATGGGTATCATTAGTGATCATAACGTATTCACACTTCGAGAATATGATCACGTTCACAGTCATAGTCTCTGTGAATCTTGTTTTAACCATATACCCAAGAGTAAATTTATCAATGTTACCATTAATTCTTTCTTTGTATAAATATAATTTATTCAATAAAGTCATTCAAATTTATTACACATTCAATAAAGATCATCTTACACGTTTCTCTTGATCTCTACCATCTTGCTCCAAAATCATCCTCTTAGTTGGTGCTGAAATAAAGAAATTACGAATATCATGAATTGTCATCTTATCATCAATCATCGCGATATGATCTCTCAAAAATTTTTCAGCATTCTTTTTGACTAATCTCATCTCTCTTCTTATAATCAACATCATTCGTTTGAAATCGAGCATAGTAGTTAATAAAACGTGCCAATGTTCCAATAAGAGTATTGATATAATATTTCATATTAATCTTCATCTTCTTATCATCAAAATACTTCACGAGGACCATCTTCTGATGAATCTTTGCATTCTTATCAGGATGTCGAATAATATAATAATTAAATCGTTCACCCGCCTCAAT